GGGCTGGGGGTTGGGGCTCTGCAAGGGGCTGAGTGGGCTGAGGCAAGGGTGGGGGAGGGCATATGTGCACACACGTGCACGCACACATGCACACGCATGAGAGGGGGAGGCATGTCACTGGCTTGCTCAGCCAAAAAACAAACACAAGGGCAAGGAAATGGAAACACAGGATTCACCGCAGGATGGGACAGACACATAGGGTGCTGCCAAGGCAGGAGCAATGTAGAGGCCCTGCTGGTGGTGTGGGATCCCCTCGGGCTGCCCACAACTGGACAGCTCAGCAGCAAGAGTGGAAACCAGGAGCTGGGATCAGGAACTGGTGTTTGTGGGATGCCCCCCCCACCCATGATGGGGTGGGGCAGCAGCAGCAGCAGTGGCAGCGATGGTTCAGGGCTAGCCCAGGTGCAGCAGGCAGGTGGCAGGGGACAGTAGCCCCATGGGGAGCCAGCAGGAGCCATCTCCAGGAGAGCCAGGAAAGGCAAACAGGCTCCCTGAAGGAGGGAGGCACAGCGTGCAGGAGCTTCTGCCTAGCAGCTCCAGCAGCAGTGCCAGGGGAAGTGCTGATGCCTCCTTGCGGCAACTGGGCAAGAGAGACCTAAGGTTTGACCAAATAAATGGCAGTTCTTATGTTCTTATTCTCATCTGTATTATTGTTGGAAATTATATGCTCTAGAGTAGATCTGGTTGAAATATTTTTAACTCAAACATTAGGGGGGTGGGTCATCAAAATATGGTTTTCATCAAACAAGTACATTTTGCAGATTTGTATCTATTTCGATCCAGCTTTCAACAGAAAGGTTTCTTGCATCCATACTGGATAGTCTAGTCAGAACCCAGAAAGAGAGACCTCAATCAAAAACTCAACCTTTTTGATTGAAAATTATTGTTTTGGTACAAATCCTTTTCATGAAAGGATTCTAAGGAATTTGGTTTTATTCAAAGGAGGAACAAAAGCAAGCTTGAAAGTTGTCACAAAAAAGAAATGTTCTCTGGTCAGCTCTCATGAGGATGGCTGCCAGGGGCAGAAGTGGAGTTGTAGATGAGAAAAGAAAGAGAAAAGTTCAGAGGCTATGAGTAAAGCTGTGCTGGGGGTTTGGCATAGTACAGCTTGTCAGCCAGTGACTTGCTGCTTTAGCATAGTCAGCAGCAATCTGTGCTTTGAATGTACAGTAACAGGGTTGTGGTCCTAACTCCCAAGTAACAGGAGATGTTCTCTGCAGCACATGGAGCTGAGATCTACAAAGACAATTCTACCTTAAAACATACGCTGTAGCTGGACCTCTAATATATTGCTGTCTTATGCCAGGTGGAAAGAACCATGCTACTCATGAGGGCAGCCCATGACAGAAAGAATATAACTGTAGCAGTTCAACTCAGCTACCTTGGTAGCAAGGGCAAATTCTTTACTTCTGGTCTCTGTGTCAGTGCTTCACAATAAATGGAGAGCTTGTCTCCTTGTAATGCTCAAGTCCAAGGTGACAAGTAGAGAAGTGGGAGTGGGTGTCTCCCAGGGACCCTGCAAAACAACCTGAGTGGGTTGCATGGGCACGTTCCTTTTCTTTGTGGCGCCAGGATGCACCCACTGCATGCTGCCTTAGAGTGGGCAGGTAAGGCCAGGACATTACCTAAAGGAGCGGGAAGTGCAGGTACGCCCCAGAGGCAGCATACTCCCGACTGTGGGCAGAGGAGGAAGCAGTAAACTGTTTTTAAACCTCAGTGCAAAAGCCACAAACGCATGTGAACTCCATCGTTTTTTAGCGGAGCTGGGCTTGTGCCTGCACTTCCTGGTGTTTTTCAGAGCTCCATTTGCAAAACAATGAGAGGCTGTGTATACAGCAAGAGGCAGGAATGTGTTTCTGGTCTCATATCTCCTCCAGCTGTGTGTTTTAAGCACATTCCAAGACTCCCTTCCCCCCACTGCCTCTCCCCCATCCTTTCACAGATGTGAGACACACATTCCCCAAGGGCAGTTCCCACCAGCTACACTCAGCACATTTCTTTCTTGGGCCATGCCTTTTCTCTTTCTGTAGTCTCTCTCTTGTCTCTCATGTTGTCTGATTTCTCTGCACACTTGTCACTTATTTGCAACCCCACCATCCACAGCCTTGGATTTGGACACAGGGGTGACAGGCTTTTCCTGCTCCTCCCTCTCCCCCCAAGACCACATGGTATGCAATCCATGAATATCCGTGGAGCAGGCTGCCCAAGATCCCTGCTTCACTTGCACACCCCCAGGAGTGAGAGATTCAGCCATGAGCAGCAGGGCTACAGACCAGGTGAGGGCAGGCAGCACCCCTGCACGGCTCAGAAATGGGACAGGCAGTCCATCACCTCGCCAGGAAGCCCTGGACCATTGTCACTTGCTATAAATCTCCTGCTCCTGGCTGAAGGAAGCATGGGCTGAAGCAGAACAGAGTGGTCATCCCACTAACTTGACCTCAAGCAATGACAGTGCTGAAAGTGTCACATCCCCCATTTCAAAGGTGTTCATTTATCAGGCTGAGGAAAAATGGGGTGAGAACATGCAATTGTTTAAACCAGGAGGAAAATGTAGGCCTCACCTAAAATGGCCAGTAAATGAAAATCAGCTCAGCTGTTACTAAACTTTGTACCGTAATTTTTTCATCAAGCACAACTGGTTCCTGCAGACAGAGAATGGATGTTAACATGCCTCTAGGCAGCCATGCAAGTTTGCTGCTATAAGTCTGTCCCCACACTCTCTCTACACCCCTTTGACTGTCTGGCATCTGTTTGCTTTTTCTTTATTTAGGTAGTGAGCTCTTCAGGGCAGGGGCGGAGTTGCTGGGATGTTCTGGGAAGTCCCAGGCATACTGCAAATGTGTAACACGCTGAGACATTATTATGAAAGAAATCCCTCTATCATACTAGTGGCATATGACTAGTCCTGCGCTATGAAGTTAGCATGTGTTCCCATTTTTCAGATGTTGTGACCAAATCTTTAATTCCCGGCACTGCAAGTGTCCTGGGTTTTCATTTAATTTCAATTGATTTTTTAACATTCAAATTGTTTGTTCATTTTTATTCCAAGGAACAGAATTATTTCTAGCTTTACTAAAAAGGATGTTTTGCCTCTCCTGAATGCATACATGATTAACCTTGTAAAACGCAAACAGGGTATATATACATCAATAGCTACGTTAAGATAGAAACTTCAGTGCCTTGTATCACTGAGTTACTCTTCATGACCTACCTAGATCTATCTGCCTTACTGTAAAAACAGCTCTTCTGTTTTCATAGTCCAGTGTAGTTGCAGTCCACTGGATCGAAAATGCTCAGAACAGAGAGAAACGATTGATATTGATATCAGCAGAGGCAAACTGCTCAAGCTGAATGTCAACAGCTTTTATGCTGTTTTCCAGATTTAAGAGCTGTATTGATGTTAAAACTATAGTTATTAAATGGCTTGGTGGAGTTGGAAGACAATACAAGACCCTGAGCATGGTAGCTACGTAGGCTGCATTGATATATAATAACTAAGTCAGGCAGTTTAAGTTAGTGCAGAGTAAAGTCATTTTAAAAATTTAAACAAAACACTATGGTAACAAGAGACAGGACCCTGGGCATAGTAACCACATTAGTACAGAGTTGTAAGATTGTAAGGAATTTTTAGGCAATGACTTTAGCATGTGCTGTACAATTGCTGAGGTGAGGCGTATTCAATAGCATTAGCAGTCTTGCAAGAGTCTATAGTATGGCAGGGGGGTTCAGTTCATCTCCCCTCCTTCTCGTTTCTGGCAACTGGTCTTAGATGGCTCTCTTTATACTGGCAATTGCTTGGGTCCCATGTTCCAAGTGCCTACTCTCTTGTACCCCTCCTCCCTGAGGGTATGGACCAGTGGTGCTTATTTAGATAGCTTTGGCTCTCGAGCTCCAGTGAAAGCCTGCCACTGGATCAAGGAGTACGGTCACTTCAATAATCAAGATCTTTTTATTGACCTCAGTCAGTATAGCAGCGTCTGGACTCAGCTGGCTGTCATAGCCTAAGGTGGTGTGCTTCTGTCCCAGCTGATGCCAAAATGGCTTTCACCGGCTGGTCCTATATGACATTGTGGCAGAGTTGCCACGCTCTCTCACATGGGGATTGCTGCCACCCAGGACAAAGGGCAGGGTTCTTTTTCCTGTAGCTGCACCTCTGGCACCCCTTGTCTCAGCTGCCCTAGTGGATGGCACTGTTGAGCAGGAGGCAGTTGAGATGGGCCCAGTGGCTGAAAGGCCAGTCTGCAAAATGAATGAAGTTGATCTGAGGCATGAGATCACTGCTGACATCCCACTTCAAGCGGACCTCAAAAACTTTGCACTGGTCAGGTTTCGCCTTCACATCCACTGATATACTCTGCCTGCATTGTGCTTCAGGAAAGTCTCAAAGCAGATCTGGACCCAAGGGGTGATTGTGATCCGGTTGGTGGTTAGGGCTGAAAGCAGCAAGAACTCCAGCTCCTCCCGTACCATGACCAGCAGCAGCCAGTGCATTTCCCAAGGCACTCTGTGGCATTGAGGGCTCAGCTCCACACTAAGGCAAAGTCCCTGCTGTCCTGCACCACCTCCCTCTCCAGCAACCCACTCAGAAATGTGGCCAGCTTTTTGTTGGATGGTGACCAGGCAATCCTCCTTTTGGAAGCCTTCTTCAAAGTACCCACAGCAATGCTGCTCACAAGTTCATTGGGGCAGGTCGGGAGGCAGAAGGCATGAGTTACTACTGTGATGTCACAGAGGTTTCCCATGCAAGTGGCATTGGCACTCCTCTGTCTTTAGGGGATATATAGGATCTTGATGCTCACACATCGTGGCACATTCATCCACTTCTTCAGAAGCTGCCTAATTTCAGCATCTGCTTCCTTGAGAGGAATTTCAGGAACTGCTGAGCCTCTCAGGACAAACACTACCCAGTGGATCAGGAAGGTGTTCAGCACATTGATCTTCTGCCAGGAGGCCAGCAGAGATAAGTCAAGTCGAGTGTCCTGCATGATCCTCAGGATGGACTCCTCCAGCGTGTGTCTCACCTGGTGGCCAGTGGGTATGTTTAGGTGAAGGTAGCTCTTGCTCTCCTTCAGGTGTTGCATGGGCTTGCCCTGGATCTTGATGCCAGGATGGAGTTTCTTTTTCTGTAGTCAGTATGCAGAAAGGCATATTTGGAGGCATTGAAGCAGAGCCTCATATACCCAGCTGCCTCAAAACTGATGTCCAGCATCCTCTGGAGGCTGTGGGGCTTACCAACAAGGAGAACTAGAAAAGGGACCCAGGTGTCCTAAACCCACAAACCCAAGCAGGGTTCTCCCACTGTGGTCCACCCCACCTAACCCCAGACACCCCCAAGGCTGCCTTCCACAGGTGTGCTTCTTTGTGTGCCGCCATGGTAGCGATCGCCAAACGGCATTTTCTAGCATGCTTTCCTTCTTCCAGTCCAAGAAGGCAACATTTTAGTGCTGGCCTATGCAACCCCAATCCTTATTTTCCCCCTGATGTAGGAAGGAAGCATTTGTTTAACCCAAATGCACACAACCCTTCTACCAGGTTTAGGCAGCTCATGCTGACTCCTACCCAATCAACCCCTGACAGCTGGATTCTCCTGGGCTCATTAGCAGAGCTGTCATGTGATTAATGATTCATGTTATTTCTTGACTATCAGGAGAATCGTGTCCTTGTTCCAAGCAACAGAAGCCAGAACCTGCAGCATCTGCAAATACCTCGGCAAATTCACATTCCACCCACTAGATGTGCATCCGCCTCATTACTCCCTGGAATGTGCCATCTGCTGGGAAAGCCGCTCCCATCAAAACAGGCCTTAGAAATTTCATGTTGGGATATAGTAATGCAGCACAACACCTCTGAGATCTCCCTCTGTGCTGCTTCCACTCCAAACCCAAAATCACTAAGCAGCCTAAAGGAAACTGGTTGTCATGGGCTTCTGCAAAGAGTTACTATGGTGATGTCACAACTCTGGATAAAAAGTAAAAGATGGAGGGTCCTTCACTTTCTTTGGGAATTTGTTCCAATGGTTAATCATCCTCCTGGTGAGCACTGTCTTACTCATCATGTTAATTTGCCTGATTCTGTTTAATTTGTTGTGGGCTCTGGTCATTTGACACATGTCCTCTCTGAGAAAGTGCTTTCCCATTGCAATCAAGGCACCCCTCATTTTTCTTTCTTTTGGGGAGCAACAGAAAGCCTGGAAGGGTTTACCCTCAAGGTTAACTTTCTCCTTTTCTAGGGCTGTGTCTTCCATGGATGAGTCTATGGGTGACTGAGAAGCTAGCTGAATGCTGAAATAACACTGAAATGAAACCTCCTAATTGGCCTGTTTGTCATTCTTTGCTCTTTGTTTTTTTTCACATCTTTTAACTCAGACAATTAACAATCTCTTTGTTATATTACCATCCTCTTAATTAAGGCCTGAGGAAGCTCCCATATCACATTTGTGGCAAAAGTGTGGAAAAATGTGAATCCAAAGCCCATGACTCCCGGCCTGCCTACAGCACTACACAGAACAATAAAAAGCCTGACTGGGCCTTCACTTCACTCCCTTAGGGTCTTCTCTCACACTGCGCTGATATGGGTCTGGGATGCACAAATCATGCACCCTGAGCAGCCTGGGCCCCAGGATAAGTTTTATTGGGGTATATAGAGATTTCAGAAAAAAAAAAGTTTTTGTTGCCCAATTATGTGCCACTTTTTCTGATTGCCAGGGAAGCTGCTGCCTTGTCAGTTGGACTGGCGTCTCCGTGTACCTTTATCTGGTTGTTGTCCACACCCAAGCTGAGAGGAATTTTTTAGAGCTGTCACAGTTGTGTTTGCCCATGGCTTTTCCATGTGCAT